ACCTGGCTACCCGTCTAAGTAGCAGCCATCGGGAAATGCAAATTTTGAGTATCTGAGTCCTCGAGTCGAAAGCAGAAGATAGGATGCACAGCTGTCATTTGCATTCCAGTGGCAGTAGCAGCACAGCGCAGAGCCCGATGACCCATCTTCCTTTGTCAGCAAAATTGACAGATCTGCTCGGCTGAGATCAGTCAACTTTGTAGGGCTTTATAGGGGTTTAGTCGTTTAGGGGTATTACCGGTTTAGGTGTCGAGGGTTTAGGGCAGAAGGGCCTGTTGGGCTGTCGATCGGGCTAACCTACCAGACCGGGTGTTTAGAAAAAAAGAATTAAATAAGTATATATATATGTATATATATATATATGTATACATAACCTACCCCACCCCCTCTATCTACCTAGCTCACCGGCCTGTCGACCTATAACCGTCCTCGCCACTACGTGCCTGACCTACCTGCCTTGCTACTTGCCATACCTAACGACACTACCTACTTACCTATGTAGGAGGACGCAGGGGGTTTGCTTCTGCTGCTGCCATTGCCACTGGTTTTGTCGCTGCTGTTTCTGTTGCTTTGGCTTCCTTAGTCCTTAACAGGGTCAATTATAACTGCATGGTATATATATATATGTACATATGGGAGTTTCCGAAAATAGGGGACCCTAATATAGTACCATGCATGGATAGTAGGATCCTCATATATATATACATATATATATATATATACATATATATATACATATATATATATACATATATTCTAAGGGCCCCACAACATAAGGTATCCGTGACTTTCGGAAACTCCCATATGTACATATATATATATAGGGTTCAGGTTTGTGGCTATCCAGGTTTTGAGAGGACTTCGAAACTTGGTGGGGGAGCTTGCGAGGCTTAGTTGAGCTTTGGCACTACAATCACAATTGTGTATATAGATCAGGCTCTGTAGCTGGGATTAGCCCGAGCCCTGAACCCTTGAACCCCCCTCGACCCTAAACCCCTCATTGCCTGTGGATGTTGCCTAGCAACTCCCCGAATTCCCAAGAAACCCTATCGACCTTTCCAAAACCTGAACGCAGGGTTTCTACGTTAATTCCCAGAAACCCTATAGACCTCTCCAATGTGAAACCTGATTGCAGGGTTCCAAGAGGTCCTGATGGAGGGCTGCAAGGATTATATGCAGGGCTCGCTCAGGCTGTATCAGGATGGTTCAGGCTGTGGATTAAAGGCTCGAGACCTCCTGGTGGCTAGGCATAGAGTGCCCACAAACTATAGGATCAGCTCAGCCAGGCCCCTGATTGTCAATCTTCAAATCCCAAACTGATCGCGACAAGGCCCGTAGTACGTAGATTACAGAGAATTGAGAACGTATACTTTTTTTTCGGGACCATAAAAGCGTACTAGCCCGTACTGAGGCCGAATGTCGACATTTTTTTCAACATATGTCGACATTTAAACCGTACTGGAAACCGTACCCGTACTCAACCCGAACTTTGTCAACATTATGTTGAAAAAAAGCCGAACTCAGATGTCGACATCTACCCGTACTCGCTTACTTTTTCAGCGTGTCGCTTACTTTTTGTGCGCAGCCGCTTTGGCCTGCTCCGATCCTCGATCTCGATCCCTTAACAGGACTGCACCTCGAAGCTTGATTTGCCCGAATGTACCTCGACACCGATATATAGTAGATAGTCCTACGCAGGACACATATGGCGACGGCGGATGACAATGGTCGAAATGCAGTCGTTGAGAAGGCCAGCCCAATGAAGCTTTATAATCCCCAAGCTTAATTGCCGCCAATGCAGGTGGAGGGTTCGTGGCTCTGCATCCGCGAGATAGAGAACAGATTCTCGTCGACGGGCGAGGACAAGTGCCTTAGCTGCCAATATTATCGTGATCGAAGCTAAAGCCCTTCTGAACTAGATTGTTCGAGAGCTCCAAGCTTTGGGTGGTGCTTTCGTATATGAATCATACCACATATATATAGAGGGTTTATAGGGTTATATGGATATAGAGGTATGTAGTATATGAATATATATATATATATATATATATATATAATAGAGAGAAAGAAAGAGGTTGAGAGAGAAGGCTGTCGGGATCCGACGACGGGCTTTAAGCAGGATCTCTCGGTGTCCCGGCTATCAAAAGCCCTCGGTCTGAAGGTACCGATCCTACTCTAAGCCCCGTAATCCTCCAAACTGAAACCACAACCACACACCCTGAGACCCTGAACCAACAACCACCAATCAACAATAATTCAATTTAACCCGTATATAATTATATAATTATATAACCCAGAAACCCTCTTACCCTTCCTGAAACCCTACAGACAGTACAAAGTTTATATGCATAATTAATTAAATGACTAGGTATATATATATATATATATATATATAGATATGGATATACATGGCTTCTGCATGGGACATATGCAATATATATATATATATATATATATATATATACACATATGTTTCGTGGCCTGTGCAGGACCCAGGGGTGTGAAGGTCTTCATAATTCGTCTGGGGTTAACTGGGCTTGGCACATATTATATAGTACAGACATATACTCTTTAATGGGGTTCGGAGCATTGATTGGGATCACCAGGGTTTGCTGAAGCTCGTGGTCTAGTAGTGGACTTGGAAAACCCTGTATAATACAACCCCATATACGTCTATCTATCTATCTATATATATATATATATATCTGTATCTATACCTTTATGTATATAATCTACCTATCTATATCTATCTATCTAGCTCTCTCTCTCTCTATATATATATATGTATATACATATATATATATATATAGCTGATAAATAAATATATAAATAAATAAATATATATATATATATATATATCAGCCCCGCATATGCCCCTGGTCGAAGCCCTTAAAACCCTATATACATATGTATATATATATACTAAACCCGACGACTTCTATCTAAACCCTATAAACCATTTGGCCGTGGCCCAGGTCCAAGATCCAGAAAATCATCCAGCAGTCGCAAAGCAGAAAGCACCCGGAGCGGCTCGTCCTGTGGACAAATCTTACTTAATTGGCTGTCAGGGGATTAAGGTGTTACATGGCTTGGGGGATGAGCGAACTTAACGTACATATGCTCGATCGAAATACAATTAAGTACACGCAGTCGTTCACACATGTGCTAGTAGTGCGGCTTATATGCAACTTGGAACAGCCCTTAATTAACCTTGATCAGGTCTGTGTTTGCACGATCTCAGGTTTCCAGATCAGAAGCAGTACTTCGTTATTACTCGCCAGTTCGAAGACTCGGGGCAGCATTATTATACTCGTGCACCATTATAATGTTAACGTTCTGACCCTTGTAAACCCTATATACACCCTGAACCCTAAGCCGCCAGCTAAGGAGGCCTATGACTGAGTCTGAGCCGGCTTGTGGGTGTGGAAAAATACCGATGCTTTGTGCACTATAGATGCGAAGAGTCGGTGTTGTGTGTCAACAATGCACGCAGAAAACAGACTCACGAGGCTGATGTCAGATGTTTCTAGGCTCGAAGGTGTGGTCTTGCTCAGACCTCGAAAAAGGAGCGCAGCAAATGGCCGGTCCCACCGAGTCGGACCTCGAGAAAAGAATCAAGGCTGGGTTGTCAGGTACATGCATATGGTCGTTCGTCCTGGTGGCTCGGTTCGTTTATTTGGTAGGAGCTACGATGCTACATCGATGAGAGCGCTCCCCCGGCGGCCAAGAAGCCCAAGCTGACGGATTCTGCCACTTTGCCAAATGAAATTATGTAGCCCCATAGAGCATCATACCTGAATTGCATGTACTTAACTCGATCCTGCAAACTGTAGGCTCCAATCCGTCTGAACCCATGGACACCCAAGAGTATAAGAGAGAGAGAGAGAGAGAGAGAGAGAGAGAGAGAGAGAGAGAGAGAGAGAGGAGAGGAGAGGAGAGGAGAGGAGAGGAGAGGAGAGGAGAGGAGAGGAGAGGAGAGGAGAGGAGAGGAGAGGAGAGGAGAGGATAGGAGAGAAGAGTAGTGAGGGAGCTATATATATATAGAGAGAGAGAGAGAGAGAGAGAGAGAGAGAGACAGGGAGAGAGAGAGAGAGAGAGAGAGAGAGAGCCAGGTATAAACCCCAAGAAACGCCCTAAGCCTTGGATGACCGTCTTAGGATTGAAGCCTTCTGAAATGGCAGAAGACAAGGAGGTTTGGTATCATGGGTTCATTATACTAATTTAGGGCGGGGTCTTAACTTGCTTTGAAGACGGATGTACTGTGCCGCAGAGGTCGCTTCGCAATGTAGTTAAAGGATGTGAGTCCTTCCTGATTTCGGAGGATACTTTACATTCTATTGTGCCTACTAAACCCTACATAGGCCGATAACCCAATAATGCACTCTTATCCTATCCATCACAAGCAAGGAACCGAAGTCCCTGGACCCGCTCTTCGCCGAGACCTTGCAAATGCCCAGTACGCCGGCTCCCTCGGCCCCCGCTACTCCCTCGTCTATGGTGGCTATGGCTAGGACTTCAAGCCCGGCTTCTGTGAGAACGGACAAGTCTTTCCCAAGACCAACGAAGAAAACCCCGAAACCCAGTGTGAAGCGAGAGCCGGGAAGCAGCCACGACGTTGCTGTGCCTTGGATGTCCGGGTATATACATGTGCATGCTGCATTTTCAGCATCCTGTGTGAGTATCACATCCGACAACCAAGGATGATGAAGCACTAGCACAGCTTCAGCAAGAGCAGCAACTGCTGTTGCAGAAGCAGCAGGAGTTGAACCGGAAGATGAACATGTTGCAGGCTGCCAAGGCAGCAGATCCAGCATCGAAGGCATCGTCGATTGCCGCAGCGAAGGAGAAGGAGATTGAGGAACCTGAGAAGAGCTCCGACGAGGGCGACGATGATGATGATGATAACGACCCCGACAAGGGAGATTGGGGATTGGGTACAACCTTATGCCCGAAAACCGGGAAAGTGCCAGATCAGCATATGGATCCCGAGCGCAGACTATTTGAGTGCTTTAATTCACAATCTCTGAAACTAGCCCATGTAAGGTTGTCAGTCTCGACGCCCTGAAGCAGCGGCTACGACGGGCGTGCAAGAGGCGAAAAAACGGGAAAGTCCCCGGTGGAGAGGCTGCCTTCGAAGCCTATCAAGACGTGGAGAACAGGAAGCAGCTCGCGAAGCTGCTGGTGGAAGCGAAGTTCAACGAGGACAGGTGAACTAGAGTTGTCTCATGCCTTTAACATGTGTGAAATGTACATTGTATTCTCTGAGATGTTTATAATCTCGACCCCTGCCAGAAGCAGTTCGCCATCAAGATGAAGAAGTATGTGACCAAGGAGAAAGAGAAAAGCCTCACGGTCGATGCAGGCTGGTACACCGAGCAGGAGATGAAGGACAAACTGGGGTATGATGCGTGCCTTTGATGACCTATGTAGCCCTATATTGAATTGCTTCCCTAATGTAGGATGTAGAATGTGCCATCTGAGGAAGACAATCAAGAAGATCGTGGACTACACTGCCAAGAATTTGAGCGTGCTGCAGCGGCCACTTTTCAGAAATCTACAGAGCATGGTGTGTTCAATTTACCCTATTAAGTAATTAAATATACTTAATTCGAGCCAATCCCTCGACCGATCCTAAACTATATACATATATATATGTATACAAATATATACATCTATAGAATTTAATTGATAAAAATGGATAGATACATATATAAAGGCTGCAACCCGCAGGCGCAAACCTCGCACCTCCCTTCTACATATGTAGTTCTTTTCCGAAAAGTTCTGATCTTTGCTTCGACCCAATCCCCAAAACTCCGTGAACCCTCTATGCATATATGCACAAATTAATCCCTAGTCTCCTTCCACCACTCTAGACGCCTCGTGTCCCGCTTCGATTCACCACCTTGGAGCCACTAGTCCCAAAACCGCAAAACCCTAACCCTGATTCCCTATGTAAACCCTGTACCCTACAACCCCTGACTCCATGATGCCAAAAAAAACCCTATACATTATATATATATATATAACACCATAACCTCAAAGTAACTTTATAACCCCATGTATGTATATTCCTGAACCCCGACCAAATCCTAACTCCTGAATTTTCCAAACTAGGAAATGGAAGTACGATGAGACGATTATCCAACACTGGGTGGAAACCAGTTGGTCGGGTCAGCTTGTGCACAAAGACAATGAGAAGTCCGTCCATGAAGAAGAACAGGAAGCCAAGGACACCCCGAACCCCAGCCTGAGCTTCGAGAACGGTGGCAACCAAACAAATCCGGGTAGCGCCGCCGCTGGTGCCAATGAAGGAGATGTCATCTGGCCAATTAATTAAGACATGTTTTATCTAGAAATGTATATCTACATGCATGGATACAACCACATATACATAGATTCTTCTGTGGCTCCATATAAGGATCCAAGAGCGGCCCTGGAAAGGGCATGGTCGGAGATGTTGAGCAAGACCAACAAGCTTCGTGACAATGTCAACTTATTGCAGAACTGTGACATGAGTGATGTTCAGAAAAGGCGGGGATCGTAGTCGGACCGTATATACTCGATCATGTTAATTCTACGTACCCAGTATGTCGGATGCCATGAGATACCCTTTAATTGAAGGCATGCTGATTCTATGCTGAAGCACGCGGATGCTATGGAGCAGCACTACGATAAGATGTCAATGCTCAAGGCCACCGCCAACATCCGTCTTTCGGAAAAGCTCCCCGGTAGCAATCTGAAGCAAGCTGTATACAGTATAATGATGACTTTCTCATGGCACCTGCTGCTTCTGAGGCTGAAGGATGAGATCATGATTGCCCTCGATGCGGCTTCTGTTTTGACTCTGGCTTCAATTAATGGGTTACTTCCGGTTGGGCTCTGTCTTGATCCCCGAGCCTTCGTCACCATCCAAGGGCATGCCAGTGCGTCAGCTTGGAGAGCAAGGTGGCCCCTTCCTTGGCAGAGGCCAAAAAGAGTGGCCCGAAGGCCACTAATGAGCCGAATACCAAGCCTGGCCCTGTTCCTGCTGGGCCTGTTCCTGGGTCGGGGCCTGGACCGGGGACCGCGAACCCTAAGAAAAAACCCAAGGCGAAGGCGAAGGGCAAAGCTAAAGCAGCTAAAGCCTAGGGCCTAGATCTGTTTTCGCCAGCGGAACACATCTGAATGTTTGTGAGTACCACTTACTTCGGTTGGCTAGATAGCAAACAGACTGCATGGTGCCATCATGGTGCATGAGGACGGTGTTCCTGCTAGTACAGCGGTTTTGATAATCGGGCCAATCACCTGTGAGGGAACGGCTGGAGTCCGGTAGGTGATCGGATGACAGAACCCTCGGGAGACTCACGACGGCAGCGCCAAAATTTGTGCCCTATATGCTGATGCATGCGGACTACATGTGGATTAGAAAGGGTTTATGCAGGGCTTATGTTTGTGGGGTCTAAAGGCCTTAATTATCATATATGTAGTCGATCGGGTTTAGGAGGTTGGTGTTCGTGTGTGTGTGTGTGTTTATAGGACCTTAAACCCCGATCGATCTGTACACATACCCTTGAAGTGCTGTAAACGAATATGAAATTCATAGAGGCTTCTAGATATTTCGACAGCACCCTAATAACTGCATCTATATAAGCCCCTCGATCCTCATATGAGGTCCACCACTGTATTATTTTGTTCCTGTTTCTTCGGTGCCCACAATCTAGTTATCTATCTATCTATATATATATATATAGGTTTATGTGGTTCCTATTCACCCGAACCATCATCATAACAAACCCTTAGAACACGACCTAAGATTTCTTGAACTTGGCAGTCGTATATGCTCGGTCCAAATAAATCTAATCACAATCCTCGCAACCTAGTGTGAAACCCCGGGCCCTGTGGGCAGGCTGTATTGTAGTTACGTACCCTGAACTTGAGCCCGAGATCTTCGTACCCACACCCCGTTACCTAGAAAGCCTTGCTATCTAATGAAATACCATCCGGAATCTTCTAAATTATCGATCCCATTAAGAGCCCTTTTGCCAGGTCAATTTGGGAGGATGGGCCAGGAAGCTGCGAGGCAGCTCGTCAGAGGAGCCAGAAACCCAGATCATCTGCAGCCTAAGGATGTGATAGGGCAGTCGGTATGCACATATATTCTTGCACGCGAGCTCTGTCAATCGGATGCTGCAGCGCTTTGGGCTGTCGGTTTCGAGCTTGGCATGCGCACTCTCGTGTCCTTAATTCTATATATAGCAACGATCGATCGAAGGGATTAGAAATATTTCACCATACCGTTTCTATCCCGTGGCGCAAATTTATAGGGCCTGCCATGGATGAATGGCTGGAGGAGCTCTTACTTTTTCCGAAGTACAAGCTCCTTGACAGAACCTATTCAGCTAGGTGTTGTCTGTCGGAAGTGGACATTGGTGCATAAACCCTGAATTCATTTGACTTGACAGGTCTCTGGGACCCCCGAACTCCGGCGACCTCCTGAAGTTTGCTAGCAGCAACATGGCTGATCATGGTCTATCGTTTTTGCATCCTTGCATCCAATGCATGTTAATTGTTGTTGATGCAGTTGACTCCAATCAAAGGCCAACAGGCTGTACCTGCTGTGCATTGGAAGTATCACAAGTACTTTGATGCCGAGATCCGTGCCCTACCCCGGCTATGTGAACTGTGGCATCAACTCTTAGCGAACAAGCAGATCTTCAAGATTGCACTTCCTGATACATCCTTGCCCAAGTCGCCGGGCGCAGTCTTTCGGGCTGCAGAGCAGATGATGGATGTCGCCTCTTGCCTTATGCAATTTGCTGATGGTGCTTATCGTTCTAGGGTACATGGACTTTACACACTGGACAACTCAGGTTCTCACTGGTACTTCCGTGGCGGCTTACAAAATCGGTTTCACCCATGATCCTTATGAGAGAGTGCAGGGGTACCTTAAAGACGGATACCACCACATGCATTTGTTACACATATCAGCATCGAGCCTGATTTGCAAATGCATTGAAGCTCATCTCATCAGATTGTACAGGGGCCGACAAGGCTGCTTGAACGAAAGCCTCGGAGGCGAGGGTCCGGATCACTTTGATGGTCCTTACTTTGTCTATGTGTCTGTGAAGGTCGTTCAATAATTCGATGATCAGGGGTCCAAAGCCCATGTGAGTGGGGAGAGTGCTCACTGTGCCGCAAAACCGATCGTTTGCCTCGAATGCCCAACGCATGTCTTAATACAACTTAATTGTACTCTGCTGGCCGAGCTTAGGCCACTGGCAAGACCGTCTCTGCCTTCGCTCGTGCAAGCTGCTCTAGAGAGCGTGGCCAAGATGCAGTACTGGATAGTCTGGCGAAGACATCAGAGAACAGATTGGAGGACAAGAGCCACGAAGTGCAGCTAAGTTGCAAGCAGCAGTAGATGGTGTCATCACGGCCATCTTGTTGGCTCGCTCAGTAATTTATATAGACCGAAAGCCTATACCCTCAGAAGTGAGGTTCAATCACTATATGGTATTCGTAAACCCAATACCCTTCAGAAGCGAGGTTCAAGCGCTATGTACGTAAACCCAAACCATTCAGGAGTGAGGTCCAGACACTATATCTACTTAGATCCAAACCCTTCAATTTGAGGTTCAAGCACTATGGGCTGGCCCTCGACATCCCCATATCCTACGTGGACGTTGGTGATGCGAAGAAGAATATGCCGTGGATCAAGCCGACTGATTTATTCCAACATCTAGCTGATTTGGGCAAACTTGACTTGCTGTATGCAGAGCAGGATACGAGCGTCTTGACACAGCTCCCTCGGCCTATTTCTGGAGTGCAATGGTAACTTCCTTTTCTCTAGGTTCTTATAAGGGTTCTTGTATGTATATAATACAGGTTCTTATATAGTTTTAAGTTTTGAAGGGTCTTAGGGTTCTTAGGGTTTTGTGGATTTCGGGTTCTTGAGGCGTTGGGGTTCTTAGGATTTTTGGGTTCTTAGGGCTTTAAGGTCCGTAGGTTTACGGTTCTTAGGGTTTTAGGGTTCTTAGGGCTTTAGGGTCCGTAGGTTTGTGGTTCTTAGGGTTTTAAGGTTCTTAGGGCTTTAGGGTCCGTAGGTTTGCGGTTCTTAGGGTTTTAGGGTTCTTAGGGCTTTAGGGTCCGTAGGTTTGCGGTTCTTAGGGTTTTAGGGCTCTTAGGGCTTTAGGGTCCGTAGGTTTGCGGTTCTTAGGGTTTTAGGGTTATAT